CAAAGAGTAGATTGTGTCAGGACAGGTCTCCTTCCTTTGGGGGAAGACAGGGGTCTATAAGGCAGATTACCTCACTAGTGCTGACCAGGTAATCCCAGATTGACTGGTTAAAATCATATTTCTGGAAGAGGTTGAAACTGCAATTAGGTTAGGTATTACTCTTAGTTTGCTGCCGTGGGGCTTTACACAAGTGACTCCATTTTGGGTCTCTTGTTTCTTTTTTGACAGACCAAATATGTATTTCTTATTATAAATCACAATATCACAGCTTCTGTGAACAATGCTGCTATGAACATTGGTGTACAGCTATCTGCTGAGTTCCTGTTTTCAGTTCTTTGGAGTATATACCTAGGAGTGGAATTGCTGGGTCATATGGTAAATTTGTGTTTAATTTTTTGAGGAGCAACAAACTGTTTTCCACAACAGCTATACTATTATACACTCCCATTAGCAGTGCACAAGAGTTCCAATATCTCCATATCCTTGCCAATACTTGTTATTTTGTTTCTTTCTTTTCCTTCCCTTCTTTCCTTTCTTCCTTCCTCCTCCTCTCCTCCTCCTCCTCCTCCTTCTTCTTCTTCTTCTTCTTTTCCTTCTCCTTCTCCTCCTCTCCCTCCTCCTCAAACTTCTTCTTCTTCATTGTAGTCCACTCTAATGGGTGTGAAGTAGTATCTCAGTGCAGTTTTGATTTGTACTTCCCTGATGACCAATGATGTTAAGCATCTTTTCACGTGCTTATTGGCCATCTGTGTAACTTCTTTGGAGACATGTCTATCAAGTCCTTTGTTCATTTTTTAATGGGTTGTTCATTTTTTTGTGTTGAGTTGTAGGAGCCGTTTCTATCTCCTAGCTATTAAACACTCATCAAATATGTGATTTGTAAATATTTTCTTCCATTTTGTGGGTTATTTTTTCACTCTGTTGAGAGATAGAGTCCTTGATGCACAACAGTTTTAAATTTTTATTAAGTCCAACTTCTCTATTTTTTGTTAGTTGCTTATGCCTTTGGTGCCATATTTAAGAAACCATTGCCAAATTTGAGGCGCCTGGTTGGCGCAGTTGAGCATCCGACTCCTGGCTTCAGCTCAGGTCGTGATCTTAGGGTCGTGAAATTGACCCCACATCAGGCTCTGGGCCCAGCGTGGAGTCTGCTTTGAGTTTCCCTCTCCCTCTGCCCTTCTCCCTGCTCTCTCTCTCAAATAAATAAATAAATCTAATTTAAAAAAAAAGAGAGAGAGAGAAACCTTTGTCAAATTCAAGGTTATGAAGATTTACCATTATGTTTTCTTCTAAGAGTTTTTTTCAAAGATTTTATTTATTCATTTGAGAGAGCGAGCACAAGTGGTTGGGGGGGCAGAGAAAGAGGGAGAAACAGGGCTTGATCGATGCAGGGTTCCATCCCAGGACCCTGAGATCATGACCTTAGCCGAAGGCAGACGCTTAACTGACTGAGCTACCCAGATGCCCCTCTTCTAAGAGTTTTATAGGTACAGTTCCTAAGTGCAGGTTTTAGACCTATTTTGAGTTAATTTTTTGTATATTTTGTAAGATAAGGGACCAACTTCTTTCTTTTGCACATGAATATCCAGTTTCCCAAGCACAGTTTGTGGAAGAGACTGTCCTTTCCCATTGACACATTGAATGGTCTTTGCACCCTTAATCACATATGTGAGAGTTCATTACCAGGTTCTTTATTCTGCCTTCAGGAGGCAGTGGTGAAGGCAGGGGTAGGCTTGACCTGGGCTTGTGGGTTCAAAGGTCAAAGAAGAAAGAAGCCAAAGCAAAGAAGAAGCAGAAGGGGTTGAGAAACAAGTGGCTGAGATGATCAAGTTTGGACTGGAGAAAACTGGAGTCAAGAACTGGACATGAAAGAGCAAGGGTCATAGGAGTGAGAGAATGAGAATGCTGGCAAGTCTGGGAGTGTCACACAGCACAGTGCTGGAATGTAGCAGTCCACACAATTCCTTGTCTATATGTCATTGCACTGATAAAGATTTTCAGTACCCACGGTTAGATACCTAACTCAATCTATTTTAAGCCCCAATATCAGTGCATATACACTGCAAGTAGGGCAAGGCTGTATCAGAGAATGTAAAGGATTTCATTAGGAATGTCTGCCCCCCCCCCTTTTTAAGATTTCATTTATTTATTTGACAGAGAGAGACACAGCGAGAGAGGTGAACACAAGCAGGGGGAGTGGGAGAGGGGGAAGCAGGTTTCCTGGGGAGCAGGGAGCCTGATGTGGGGCTCAATCCCAGGACCGTGGGATCATGACCTGAGCCGAAGGCAGACGCTTAAAGACTGAACCACCCAGGTGCCCCTGTCTGCCCCCTTTCTTTTTCTTTGTGTTGGCTTCATTCTCAGGCAGAGTCTTTCCATAAAGTGGCAAAGATGACCTGGAAACCCATGACTCAAGTCTCTTTCTTGATATTTCCAGTAAAAATACCAGGACACATGTCATTGGTCTGTCTGCTCACATTTCTGAACCAATCATCCTTTTGTGGGTGGAGGGTGGGATACTTTGATAGGCCAGGCCAGGGTCCCATGTCCATTCCTGAAACAAAGCTATGGAGTGGGGTCAACCCATCCAAACCACTCAGACTCAAAGTTAGTGATTGGTGGTTCTCTAAAGAAAGTTAGACTGATGGTAGCCAGAAGAAGCAGGATGGATGCTGGGTAGCCAAAATATGTCTACTACTGTGGGCCTCACCTGCCCTTCACTCACCTTGTGTATCTTGGACACTGGCTTGCTGCATAGTCTTCTGTTGAACTGAAGGGAACTGTCTGGCTTTGCCACCAGGCCCGGCTTCTTTCTACACTGGATGTGGGGTCTAGGCTTTTTCAGGCACTTGCTCGATTTATGATCTTGGACAAACTCCATCCCCTCTGAGGGCCTTAGTATCCTCATCTTCGAAATGAGAATGCTAGACTGGATCCGTGATGGAACAGCTCTGGGGGAAGGGGAGGTGGGGCATGGTACAGCCATCCTGCTCCCTCAGCCTTCCCTTTCCCCACACATACTGGCCACAGAGGAATTCAACAACCTCACGGAATGTGGTTTGAAAACCACTGGATCAAGTGTTCCTAGTGATTCCCCTGAGCTCCAAAATCCTTATTCCCCAACCCTCGCCCCCCTCCCCATTTCTTCTGGAAGGAAATCCTCTTCATACCAAAGTCTGGGGCTTAAAATACTAAATGTAGAAAAGGTCTTCTCTCCTAACTGAACAAGGCACAAAGAAGTTAGTCCTATAGAATGCCTCACTTTGACTATAATTGGGGGAAAGCTTTCTTCCTCTATGGGGTGAAAGGAATTGCTCCTTACTTATGGGTAATGGCCAGGAAAAAAGTCAATGAGATGCTAAGCAACCTTCTTGGTGTCCTAGAGTTGATGAATCATAGGCCACCTGTAGCATATTCTGCCTTCCAAGGCTTTGCCTCTGCTCTTTCACGCTCTGAAAATGCCAAAAGCTTCTTTTCATGGACAGAAATCATTACCAAGTCCCATAAAACCCAGTGTTTAAAATACATGCAGCAAAACTGCATGACTTAAGCGTGTATGTGGTGGTATTGAATCTTATTTGAATTCATAAGAAGCCTTAATTATGAGCCAGGCTATGTGCCAGGCACTTGGGTTAAAATGGTGAATACGAATGCGGTCTACACTCTCACAATGCCTGCAGTTTAGTGAGAGAGACAAACATTGACCCAATAATCTTCCAAATAGAAACCTAGATTCAAAAATACTGGAGAGGTATAAGAAGTGAGAGTCAGAAACTACTACAGTAGGATTTGACTTCAGGTCTGTATCAAACCTGATTCAAGCTCTCTTAAGCTCTAGGCAAGTCCCTCCTTTTCTCTGGACCAGAGTTTACTCATCTGTAAAAAAGTAACATAACAACTGCTCCTGAGGAAGTCTTCCCATTGGTCAGATCTGGCACAGGCATTCTCTCCTCATGATGCCCTCCTGGGCTCTCCAGGCTGTTCTTGGTGGCCCTGCTCTGGGCTTGCACACCAGGTGCATATACCTGTTCCTGCACATCTCATGTTGCAAGTTTCCTAACTAAGGACCTCCCTTGTCAACTAAGGACCTTGCTGGAGATTTTGTCATCCCTAGTGCATTGCAGAGTCTGGCTCATAGCAGGTACTAACAAATGTTTATTGAATGAATGGATGGATGGGGAGAGTACATTGTGTTACGAGGAGTGTGAATATCATTCAGGAGTGTCATAAAGGAGTGTCACTTCTGACAAGACATATTTGCTGGCTGTATCATCTGAGGCTGTGGGTTGGGATGAAGATTATACAGGCTGTGGAGTCTCAAGTCCTCAGTCAAGCTCTCCAGTTCTGCTGATTATTCGCTGCAGTAATGTGATTATTTTGGGGCAAGTTATTGTGATTAGTCTGCATCTTCATCTGTATTAGGACTTGGACTACCTTACAGGGAGGTAGAGTTTTGGAAACATGTTATTCACTGTCAACTTTATTTAAATAAAGGGAGAGGGTGGAGGCCAGGAGAAGCGGAGGAAAACAGTTCCAGGGAGGATCCTGAGCGGAGCCAGGGTGGGAGTGGTTGGTTGAGCTTGGCCTCCCCAGGGAGGCAAAGTAAAGGCTTGGGAGTCAGAAAACTGCTTAGTAAGCAAAAGTCAAAGCTTAAGCTCTAAACTTGCTTTCTTCATCTCCAAATCGGAGGTAATGACTTGAGCTCCGCAGAAGGGTATGACGTTCAAATGCGATGATAGGATGGCATGATTAGGAACCGGACTCCAGGACCCCACATTAGTGCCCTAGATCAAACCCCGGATGAGAACCTTTCCCATTCTCACCCTAGGAGCCGAGCAGGAAGTGCCGGCGGCGGGGGAAGCCAACCCCGAGACACAGCCGGAAGTGGGTGGGCGGAGCCCTACCGGCAGCCTCGATGGGCGCAGCCAAAAGCCAATGGAGAGCGGAGGCGTTCCCGCCCTCGCCAATGGAACTCCGAGTAAGGCGGGCCTTGACAAACCGCCCTAGTAACAGCCGCATGGTAACCTAGGTGCTGGGCGTGTGGTACTTGCTCTCCGTTTTCCACGCTGGTCTTGGCTCCCGGCGTCTGCAAGATGAAGATTGAGGAGGTGAAGAGCACCACGAAGACGCAGCGCATCGCGTCCCACAGCCACGTGAAGGGGCTGGGGCTGGACGAGAGCGGCCTGGCCAAGCAGGCGGCCTCGGGGCTCGTGGGCCAGGAGAACGCGCGAGAGGTGTGGCGGGCGGGCCCGGGAGTTGAGAGGCCGCTGAAGTGGGGGGCTCAGGGCGGGGTGCGCGCTTGAATGTCCCGCCGACCATTCCGTAGGGCAGTGTGAATGGGCTCCGGTGGGGGTGGGGGGTGGGCGGTGAGGGAGGTCCGCCCTGGGACTGGGAGAGGGGCAGTTCCAGGAGAACAGGTGCTGACCCCACGCGGGCGGTTGACGGCTTGCTTCGCCTCACTGACAGCAAATCACGATTGAGTCCCCTCCTCTGTGCCTTGCTCTCTTCGTGACGCAGGGGTAAGCTGGGAAGAAGTTAAGGTCCCTGCTCTCACGGAGCTTACATTTTAGTGTGGTGAGAGACGATAAACGTTTAACCAGTAAATAAAATAATTATTACATTTTGGTGGAGGTCAGTTCCTGAAGGGCTTTGTCGGACATGGTAAAGAATTTGGATTTCTGTGAATGCAGTGGGAGGCTATGGGGGTTTTAAAGTAGGGAAGTGATCAACCTTAGAAAACTCACTTTGGTTTCCAGGGCTTGGGGACTGAAGGAGGGAAATGGGAATTAGGGAGAGGAGCAGCCCTCTTCAGCCACACTCCAGCATCCTTTTTGACCATTCCAGTCAAATCCACTTAAGTGGCAGTGATGCCAAGTCATTTCACCTACATTATAATCACGAAATTATTCAAGCTTTTTGTATTATTTTTTTGCAGATGAAAAAATTGCCACTCAGTTTAGTAATGGTGGTGCTGGGATTTGTACCCACATGTATTTCTGACCCTCAAATCAGTGCTCTCTCTATGATATTACAGCCACTTTTTAGCCTGCTGTGCTCTAAGGTCAGATCCATGCCCTTTGGCCTTGCCGTGGTTTAGTAGCTACAGACACATGCACTTAGTACAAGGTTAAGACTATTGCCTCCTAGCCAGATTGTGCTAGAAGAAAGGGCCAAACAAAAGCCTCCACTTTCTATTTTGAGCATCATCTTTCCAAAAATGGAAATATTGACAGGGTCAGGGGGACTTTGAAATTTCTCTTTATCCAGCTTTTGCTTATTGAGGACCTGTTACTGAAAATAGCTAACACTGGCTGAGGGCTTGCTAATGTGCCAGGCAGCTTTATCTCCATTGTCTTGTTTTCACCGCCACCCTAATAATTGTCACCTACTTTACTCTGCCACTTTTCAGATGTTAACAAAAAAGTTAAAAGACTTGTATAGTGAATGCCTATGTGCCTAAATTCTACAATGAACATTTTACTCTGTTGGTTTATCCTACATCCATTCATTTATCCATCCATCAATCCACTTTTGCATTTCAAAGTAAGTTGCAGACAGTAGTACACTTTACCCTTAAGCCCTTCAGCATGTGTGCCACTATTATGAACTGTTTTCAGAGGAGGAGATTTGATTCACACAGGTTAGGTAGGTAGGTCTGAGGTCACTCAGAGGGTAGTGGTAGAGACCAGATTTAAACCCAGGCTTGTCTGATTCCAGAATCCATGCTCTTTTTTTTTTTTTTAAGATTTTATTTATTTATTTGAGAGAGAGAAATCACCAGCGGGGGGAGCGGCAGAGGGAGAGGGAGAAGCAGACACCCTTCTGAGCAGGGAGCCCGACTCGGCTGCATCCCAGGACCCCAGGATCATGACCTGAGTCTAGGGTCATGATCTGACTGAGCCACCCATGCACCCTCCAGTATCCATGCTCTTAACTCTGATGCTTTATGCCTCCTTATGAATATGAGCTTCCTGACAATAGAGATGATTAAATATGATTATATACCCAAACCTCACTCATCAGGGCTCAGTATTTATTTATTTATTGAAATAATAGGCATCCTGCTGCAGCTTCCAGGTCCTTGCATGACTCTGGTCACATCAGCAGTCTCCCTGGTGCTCAATATCCTCTCTGAAAAAATAAGAGAGTTAGACTAGGTGATCTTTTAAAGGCCTTTCTAGTTCTTTTTAAATTTTAGAATTCACTGAACATATCTCACTGGAGAGGATTTGGAGCTTAAACTTAGAGTAAATGGAAGAGGTCCTAGTGTGTCAGTAAGAGTACACATCCACGGTTTGGAAAGTTTCTTCCCTAAGAGTGCTGAGGATTATGATATCACAAGGCTCTAGGGAAAAACCATAGTGGTTGGCTCTATTTTCTTTTTAGAAATGCGGCAGCTGAAGAACAGCTTCTGGGCTTTCTTCAGGGTACTGTGCTTTTCCATCTGAGCCAAAAATGGAATATAGCCCATCCACATGCCTTCTTTGAACCCACATTTTTGGAGTGGCTGTCTAAGTGTGGGACCAAGGTACTTCTCCACAGTCCATAAGAAGTAGTGGTAGAGGAGATAAGATGTGTTCACAAGACCCTGTCACCTCCTGGAGAGAAGAGCTATGGCCTGCTCTAAGTAATTTATTAGGTTATTAAAACAATGTAAGAAACCTTGTAGTCCTGGGATATGTGTTCAGTAAGTGTGACTCTCAGTCTTCTTTATAGTTAAATATTCTAAAATATATAAAAATCAGTAACCCATTTATGGAATTTGCATATATACATACCGATATTTATATACCTATATGTATATGTATGTATATGCTGTAAATGGCTTAATAGTGTTGCATTAGTATGAACTTAAGGTATAACAACAAATCATCAAGTAATTTACTCTTGAGGATTTGAAAGGCATTCAATTAATCTATGGCGCCCTAGGTTAACCTCACGTACAGCATTTGCTTTGCAACATTCTGGGAGTTAACTGATGGCCAACCTAGTAGTGTATGCCTTGATTCTTGGGTTAATTTGGGAATCTGATGAAAGCTGTGACTCTCCTCCCTGGAACATCTATACGCAGTTTTGTTTTCAATTTCATTCCCAGTCTCAGGAGGTATGTGGGCCCCTGGAGTCTACCCTTGGCCCCTAGGCTAGAAATCAGTGCTCCCATTTGTACCCCTACCATTCATTCTCTACACAGTGCCATCAGGTCTTTTAAAAAGAAATCATCATGGGATGCATAGCCTGAGACCTTTTCAATGGCTTACCATTACATGTAGGTTAAAATCCAAACTTTACTATGGACTAAAATCCTGTTGTGAGTCCTGGCCTCTGCCTGCCTCTTGAACCTCATCTTCCCATTCTCCTTTTATCTATGCTGTGGCCATGCAGCCTTTCTGTCCCTTGGATATGCCAAGCTCATTCCTGCATTTTGAATTTGCTGTTTCCTTTGTCTGCAACACTGCCTTCCCTTTGTCTGGAGCTTCACATATCAAATACAGTGTCCTCAGAGAGGGCTCCCCAGATCAATACCCCTTTTTTTACAGTAGTGATCATCTACAGTGTTTTTGTGTGTGTCCCTTCCACTAGACCACGAGCTCCAAGACCACAAGGCTTTCTTTTCTGTCGCCCTCCCCTGCTCCCAGTACCTAGAACGGTGCCTGCAGTGTAGTGGCGCTCAGTGTTGGCTGAATTGAGTATGAATTGTTTGGACCAGAAACTGGACTTTTTCCCCATGTGAAACATTTTAATACTGATTTATTATTTCTTTCCATTGTGGTGTCTAGGCATGTGGTGTGATAGTAGAATTAATCAAAAGCAAGAAAATGGCTGGAAGAGCTGTCTTGTTGGCAGGACCTCCTGGAACTGGCAAGGTACTCAATTTCTTTCATTTTCTAAATCTACCCAAGAGAATGATCTTAATGTTTAAGCCAAATTGAATTCGTGTCTTAACTAGTCTTTGTTTAGCTAAATTGGTTATATGTATGTTTGAAAAACTAATGTGCAATAATACAATTGAGTATCTAAAACCCATGCTCCTAAAATTCAAATTATCCTGGCTGACCTCCAAAGAAGAGAGGATGAAGTCCTTGGAGGGGTCTCCATTGTGTCTAGAATTTGTCCTTTATCTCTTTCCAGTCTCCTTTGCCTTGGAAATACATTTCTGTTGGCCTAGGGCATCATTAAATCTTGGGGATGACATCTTACTTAAGGGGGAAAGAAAATCAGTCAGTGACCATTTTTTTGAAGGCTAACTTTACCTAGCACTATCTCTCACAGTGTGAGAGATGGGGAAAAAGAAAGAAGGAAGGAATTAGATGATTTTTATCTTTAAGGGGCTTCCAGTGTCCAGGGCAGAGAGAGGAGACCATGACAGCACAAAATACTTAAGTTGGCCACTAAGCTGTGAGATACTGACTCGTCTTAAATGCAGCCAGGATTTGAGCTGGAGGTGGTACCGAGGCCTGGTAAAGCTGGAAGGGTTGAGACTTGACATTTGCCCTGCAGAGTTGGGAGAGAGTTTGGCTTTGCAGGGGAGAAAAGGGCCTTCTAGGCAGAGGAGGCAATACAACTTGTTGTATAACAACAAATCATCAAGTAATTTACTGTGATGATGTCTGTGAGGGGACTGGCCAGATACACGAAATGGACCAGAGCCCCCAATTTGAGTCATGCATGTTCCTCAACAGGGCCACTTGGTATGGGACAGTAGGAGCTTGGGATTGCGTTTGTAAAGAAATAAGCTTTAAATTCCAGCTCTGGTGTTGACTTGCTGTGGGGACCCAAGGGAAGTATGTTCACCCTTTCTGAAGTAGCACATGCCTCATTTCAGACGGTTGTTACACCGGTCAGTTGTAAGATAATGACTTGCATTATCCTTTTGAAATCATGTAATTGAATTGATGGTATATGTTATACTAGTGTCTTACAGTAGAGGAAGAAGTGCTGTATTCATGAAGAACCTTTCAAGTGCCATGTAAATGTGAGCTTTAATTATCTCTCTGTAGGCAACACCAGATTGTCCAGTGTATTTACCATTTATTTGCTTACTGTTCCTTCTTATATTTTAGCCCTTCCCTCTCCCTCCATTTTCCTTCTTCCTAAAGTACATCATTTAGAAGTTGCTTCTAGAAGTTTGTTGGTATCCAGCTCAGGTTTGTATTTATTATGTTGCCCTTGTTTTGAAAGATTGTTATGTTGGATATATAATTCTGTTGATAGCTGTTTTCTCTTGGTATTATTTCTCTTGAAGCTTGCTACCTTTTTGCTTTTGAAAAGTCTAGTTTTGAGGATTTTGTCTTGATGTTTTCGAGATGTTTTTGGTTTTGGCATTTCCCTATGATACGTATCTCTTGATACCTCTTCACTGTGATATGTATCACTACAATTTTTCCTCTTCAGATGTTGCATTTCCTTATTCTCTTTGTGCTCTTCTGGAACTCCAGTCAGATGATGTTTGATTGCAGGGGTTTTCAGCCTGGGGCAGTTTTGCCCCCCAAGAGACATTGGCCAGGTCTAGATACATTCTTGATTGTCAGAATTTGGTTGAGCAAGGACTGCAGCTGGCATCTCGTGGGTGGAGGCCACAAGTACTGCTAAGCATCCTACAGCGCACCAAGACGGTCCTTACAAGAAGGAATTATCCAGCACAAAATACCAGTAGTGCCAGCATTGGGAAACCCTGGGCCAGAGCTTCTTATTTTGTCTTCTTTGTCGTTCAACCTCTTTTTCGTATTTTCTCTATATTTGGCTCTGCTGCATTCTGAGTAATTTCTTTAGACCTCTGTTCAGTCTCATTGTTTTGTAGGCTATAACTAAGCTGCTGTTTAATCCAACCCACTGAATATTTTTCTTTTTTTCATTTTGAAAAATTTGAAACCTAAAAAGAGTTGGAAGAATGGTATGATGATCCGCTCTATACCCCACATGTAAATAAGTAATTGTAAATATTTTGTGACATTTGCATTTTCTCTATTTCCGAACCATTTGGAAGTCAGTGCAAGGACATTCTCCTATGACACCAAAGTACCGGCGTCCACCCAAAAAATGCTAACATTATTAGCTGATGTCTCGTGTGTATTAAAATTTCTCCAAGTCGTTCCAGTTTGGGGTTGTGTCATTTTTTTATATTTTTAAATTCAGAATACAATCAAAGATCACACACTGCATTCATTGTTGTGTCTTTAGTCTCTTTTTATCTAAACAGGAACCCTGTTCAGCCCTTTTTGGTTTTGTTTTCTTTTTTGACATTGACATTTTTGAAGAGTCCAGGACAGTTGTTTTGTAAGAAGGTCCTATAGCTGGCCTACAATTGTCTGATTGTTTGATTGTCTGATTGTTTCATCAGTAGGAAATGTTAAACACTTGGTGGAACCCTGCACTGGTGATGTTGTATCCCATTGCATCCCAGCAGGAGGCTGACAGGACGGGTGGGCCAGAGGCCAAGTTCTGCTGTGAAGGTCCTGGTTCCCTTAATTAATTAGTGATCGGAAGTGATGCACTGAGATGTTGCAAATATCCTTTCACCGTAAGGGTGTAGGATTCCCTGATGGTTATTGCTATATCAGTTACCACATTGGTGGTTGCAAAATGGTGATTTTCTAAATCTGTCATTCCACATGAGTTAGCTTGCTTATGGTTTTGTTTTTGGTAAAGAAGGAACATCCCCCTCTTAAGTTCAGTTTTTTTTTCCCTTCAAAATATGGCTCTTTTTTTTTTTATTCTGGCTATTTTTATAGCCTCTTGTTCTTTGTTCATGACTCAGTGTCTTCATTTTTTCTGTATTCTCTGTCGGCTTGTGAACTTGTGTTTGGCCGATCAACTCTGTGAGGCTTCTTCTCAGAGTGTTTTGAGGGGCCCTCCTGCCCTACCCAGGGCACTTGCAATGAAATTGTGGCATGGGTTTTCCGGTCATCAATGTAAAGACTAATCCTAAAGTTGTTTGAGAGCATGCTGTGGGGACTCTTCTCACCCAGAGCCATGGCAGGATGGATAAGTTTATACCTTGTATGTCAGGATATTTTTTGTTATGGCTCACCTTTTCTACTCATTCATAGTCCTTCGGGGCTCCTTTCTATTCAGAGGTTTCTCTCTCTCTCTTTTTTTTTTTTTTTAAAGATTTTATTTATTTATCAGAGAGAGACACAGTGAGAGAGGGAACACAAGCAGGGGGAGTGGAAGAGGGAGAAACAGGCTTCCCACTGAGCAGGGAGCCTGATGCAGGGCTCGATCCCAGGACCCTGGGATCATGACCTGAGCTGATGGCAGACGCTTAATGACTGAGCAACCCAGGCGCCCTGAGGGGTTTCTCTCTTACTATATCTTGCTGAGGTTTCTGCCATCTGTCAAAACCTTCCAAACTTTCAAGGCAACAATAGTTTACTACTCTGGATTTTTTATTATTTCTTTATTTCTGGGTGTTTTGTAACAGGAAGGATTTTCCATGGCTCTTTCTAGTGTGTCATATTTCTGGCAGCATAAATTCTTCGTTCCATTTATTTATTTATTTATTTATTTGAGAGAGAGAAAGAGCGAGAGTGCATGCACTAGTGCAGGCGGTGGGGAGGAGCAGAGGGAGAGGGACAAGCAGACTCGGGGCTCGATGTCATGACCCTGAGATCATGACCTGAGCCAAAAATCAAGAGTCAGGCTTAACTGACTGAGTCACCAGGTGCCCCCTTCGTTCCTTTTGTAGTATTGTAGCATTTTCCTCCTAGGAAATACAAGAAGTTCCCAACACTACAGTCTCTTTCCATGTGTATGAAGGCGTGTGGTAACTCCTGCTCTACAGTGCGCTGATGGGACCAATGGTTTAGGTAACTTAACTAAGTGGCAGGCAGAAATATGGTGCTTATTTTAGAGATGCAAATACGTGGTTCATATAGACAATCCACTCTTGAGGACCTCATGCTATTAATAATGGGGCTTTATATTTAGGCTCTAGAGAAAGGAGATGCTTAGATGAGATTGAAATAGGTTTCTTCAGTCTTCTTTTGGCAACAGCCTATTTTTTTGTGTGCCACTTGCCACTTACATAGGGGGTGCTCACAAAGAAATAACATCTTGGGGAGTGGGGTTTGCATCTTGGCTTTGCTGCTTGGTAACTGACCTTGGATGAGTTAGTGTGTTTCAGTTTCTAAATATCAAATACAATATCAAATATCAAATACACTATCAAATACTAGATCATCAAGTTCATAGGCTAGGTGGGAGGATTCAGTGAGACCTCATACAAGTGATCTAGCACCATCTAGCACAGATGTGGGTGTAATAGCTATATTGTATACCTGCCTTCTGGGAAATGGAAGAAGCTAGACACACCTGAAGCATTTCTTAACCAAGTATTTATCATACTTTAGTAGAAGGATATTGATCATCTCTTCTGTATTAGGTTGAGGTGAGGGGGATACCACTGAACCAGATATATAGTCTCTGTCTTTGAAGTTCACAGCTGAAGGTGTGGAGTCAGGGCCTGTGGAGATACCTGGGTGAGAAAGGAGTGGCTGAGAAGGTGGTGGGTTTGGATAGAAGGTAGATGTGGTACTAGAGTCTCCTCCTCACACTGTACCCTGTCATGCTGCAGAGATTTTCCCTTCGCTTGTAGAGTACCAGAGAATAACAGTTTTAGAGGTATCAGCCCCGCGGTTACAAACTCAGATGCCTACTCAGGCCATGGGGATGAGGGATGTGCCTGGGTACAAGCACGAGGGCTCAGGGTGGCCAGAGCGGCATGTCCTCACCGAAGGTGGCAGCTGTTCTAGAGGTCCACCCCAGGTGTCACCATGTGGTAAAGCGGGCCCATTGTGGCCAGACCTTCTAGTTCCTCAAAAGAAGCTAAATACCTGGATTTTTACGTGGAATTTCCGAACATTAAAAAATAGGCAACAAATTGAGTTTAAAAACACATGAGACTCATAGGGGAAGGGAGGGAAAAATGAAACAAGACGAAACTGGAGGGGGAGCAAACCATAAGAGACTCTTAATCTCAGGAAAGAAACTGAGGATTGCTGGAGTGGAGGGCGGTGGGAGGGATGGGGTGGCTGGGTGATAGACACTGGGGAGGGTATGTACTATGGTGAGCGCTGTGAATTGTGTAAGACTGATGAATCACAGACCTGTACCCCTGAAACAAATAATACATTATGTTAATAATAAAAAAAAAAAAAACAGGCTGTGGGCAACTAGTTTGTGACTTGTGATTTAAGCTAGGACTTTGATTTGACAGGTGGGGAAATGGAGCAGCAGAGATTTGCCATGTGCCCAGAGTCACCATGAAAATTAGGTGCAGAACCAGGACTACAACCCAGTTTTTGCCCTGCCTGCCAGGGCTTTTTTTTTTTTTTTTCATTATTTGAGAGAGGGGGAGAGAGAGTGAGCGTGTGCAAGTGCATGAGCAGGGGGAGGGGCAGAGGAAGAGAGAAGCAGGCTCCCCGCTGAGCCGGGAGCCCGACTCGGGTGGGCTCCATCCCAGGACCCCGGGACAATGACCTGAGCTGAAGGCAGCCGCCGCTCAACCGACTAAGCCACCCAGGCACCTCCCGCTGGTGCTTGTTGTGCTACACTACATGCCGATTCTCTAACACATTCTACCATCTTAAAACATCACCAAAATGGCATTGAAAAGGTTCCTTCTAAGAGGAACCTTTACTGGGCCAGTTTTAAAATACTGTTTCAGAGATGTACTTTGTTGTTCACTGCAGGCTTGCTTTCTTGCTTAGTCTCTACACCTTGGAACCTTCCTCAGGCTCTTGTTTCAAAGTTGAGCAAAGATCAAAACAGGCATTCAGACACCATGGCATTTCCCTGTCCCATACCAGCTCTAACGCATTGGATTTTCATACTTGATATGTGACCATGCAGCTGTTAAATCTGCTTGTGGTTAGCATCTGCCAGCTGTAGCTATCTTATTAAAAATCAGTTTGTAGTTTACGAGGGCATGTTCTTCAAGTGTAACTTAGGACCAGCTCATAGCTTCAGACCCTAGCTCATGCATCATTCTTCACCATGTGCGGGCCACTTACTACAAAGCGAATGTCATGTGATTCATTCTTTGATTAGTAGTTTTCTGATGGGCTGGAGGTTGGTGTCTTCCTGTGCCTGTAAAAACCACCCCGGAGTAGTGTTCCGAGCCATTAGGTCAGGGCCCTGTTGTGATACTGAGGGAAGTGTTTTAGAAGACTACTGATTGTGATGGGAACACAATCTCTGGAACCCGTTGCCAGACTTAAAGTTCTCATTCTGCCATTTTCTAGATTATGGTTCCCAGGACGTGTTTAAATCTCTACAGTGCCTCTGTTTCATCATTTGTAAAGTGGGGAGAGTTTAGTGTCTACTTCATAGGGTGAGTGGAGGGTCACGTGAAGCACTTAGAGTCGGGCCCGTGCTGGTAAGTGTCAGTGAGTGATAACTGTTGTAATTACAGGGATGATTAAAGATGCCATTTGGGTTATAAATCGCCTGTCCACAAAAGTCATGCAGCATTTATTGTGTGAAACATGCTAAATGATGTTACAACTAAAAGGACTAGATTTTCAGTTATTCCTGGTTCATATTTTTTTAATAGCATATGTTTCTGAATTATTGTATTTTCAAGAATGTAAAACAAGTGCATTTCCACTTTTTCTGTAGACAGCTCTAGCTCTGGCTATTGCTCAGGAGCTGGGTAGTAAGGTCCCTTTCTGCCCAATGGTGGGGAGTGAAGTTTACTCCACGGAGATCAAGAAGACGGAGGTGCTGATGGAGAACTTCCGCAGGGCCATTGGTGAGTATCATGTCTGTGGCAAGAATTCTTCTCACTTGCCCAGTGCCTTGAAGCCGCTTTGTTGTGCAAATGCCTTTACTACTTATATTTGTTGTACTACCATTTTTCTTTTGGCACTATTAGTGTTATCTTTGCAAGCCAAACAAGAACCCAACTTTACTAATTGAAGCGCTTTAGCAGTTGGCAAATGTGGGCCCTGGCTATGGGCTGGGGTTTCTCACCTGACAAAATAAATGTGGCTGTGAAGTGATTTTTTAAAAAACAAGTCAGATTTTCCTGGCAGCCTTATTATGCTTTTAGAGATGACTGTCCACTGAAAAGGCTTGGACGTAAGCCAAAAGCTTTGTGTGTCGTGATGCTGGAATGCCCCTGGTCCTGGATATCGAGCCAGAATTGTGGCCTATCAGAGAGTGGGGAAACCATGTGGGGACAGGCAGAGATTTGAGACTTATGGTGCCACCCTCATGGGGCTGGGAGCTACCATATCAAGTGCTTGTTATATGCCAGGCCCCCCCAACATTGATTATAGCCTTTTGTTTCCCTAAGAGAAAGTTCTCTGACTTCATTTTGCATCTGATGAAACAGAATCTCAGGAAGTTAAATGACTTGCCTACAGTAACCCAGCTAGTAAGTAGCAGTGTTACAGTCTGAACCTGTATCTGTTTGATTCTAGAGCCCATACTCTGAAGATCTGCTGTGAAAAAAAATGGCCTTTCCCAAGTATTTACCTCTTGTCAGCGGGGATGTCTGGGCCAGTTTCCTTGCTCCATTTTTGTTTCCCTAGCTCTGGGAAAATCCCAGCTTCCCTCACATCTACATGTAGAAATAGCTTATTCCTTTTAAGATATTAAAAACTACTTGATGTGTTTCTGCACATATAGGCGTCTATCTCTAGGATACAGTTGCTGAGTTATAAACACTTGTCAGAGTGCCTGTACAGTTTTCCAGGCCCTTTGGTTGTCAAAACAAGGTAAATATTCTTTTTTTTAAAGAAGATTTTATTTATTTATTTGAGAGATAGCATGAGAGAGAGAAAGAGCATGAGTGGGGGCGGGGCGGGTAGAGGGAGAAGCAGACTCCCCGCTGAGCAGGGAGCCTGACTCAGGGCTCAATCCCAGGACCCTGGGATCGTGACCTGAGCTGAAGGCAGATGCTTCACTGACTGAACCACCCAGGTGCCCCCAAGGTAGACATTCTTAAGGAAATTTGCTAGAAAACTTTGAGGAAATGAGGAAAGTTTAAGAAAGAGCGGATTTGTCTAGCGCAGAATCCTTGCCTTGAGACTGCTAAAGTCTAGGTCAGGGGTACAATCATGTAGGGCCTCAAGCCACGATTAGGGCTTTGCATTTTTCGCTGAGTGAAAGGAGAAGCAATTGGAGAGTAGTTTCGGATGTCCAAGAATCCCCCTCTGGCTGGGGGATGGAGAGTGGGCAGTGAGGAGAGTGAGAGGGTAGCAGGGAGACCGTGAGGAGTCTGAGCAGATGGTGGTGGCTTGGGCCAGGGTGGTGATGGCAGAGGTGGTAAGAAGTGGTCGGATTCTGGATGTAGTGGGATGGTAGAGCTGACAGAATTGCCTGAAGGATTAGATGTGGGGCTGCAAGAAAGAGAGGTGGCCATCTTGGGGGATGGGAAAGAATGGAGAGGAGCAGATTGGGTGTTTATTAAATGTCTGCTGTGGGTAGACTATCTACTGCAGCCCCAGTTCCTGCCACAGAGTGGATGCTTAGTAAAGTTTTTCTGAATGAGAAAAGAGGATGGACTGTAAAGCAGGTGGAAAACAGAAGCCTTTGCCTAAAGATAGCCCTCAGTCTGTGTCTGGCGATAGATATGCTTTGTTTGGTTTACACAGGGTTTTTTAAAATGAATTTTGAGTTAGTTGCCAGTGTTTAGAAATTGGGGAATGTCCTATAAAATCCTTCTTTCTGGCTTCTGGAGAGAAGCTTTCATTCCCACACAGCAACAGCCAGGTTGGGGCCGAGCAGCGCTCCTTTGCAGAGCGGGCTTGTGCGGCACTGCGTCACAGCCCCCCGGGGGCCTGCTCTGCTTCTTGACCTTCCCCGTTGGGTGCTTGCCTGTACCGGGTCCCTGCGAGCACCTGAGTGTGGGACTCTTGTTCTAAGCCAGAGGGATTATGGGCCGTGTCTGTAGGCTAAGCTTTGTGTTATGTAGATATAGGGTTTTTTTTAAACTGCGAAATAGTCCTTACTGGAAATCTTTGTTACTGGAAACACTGCATTGTTTTGGTGGCTGTTTTAAATTGAAATATCATATACATATAGAAAAGCAGGTACAGCATGCCTGTAGTTTAACGATTAATTATGAGGTAAACACGCAGTCACCGCTCAGCTCGAGGTGCAGAGCAGGGCCAGCACGCAGGTGTCGCCATGCCCTGGCTGGCCACAGCCCCTCACCTGTCCCACACCGACCCGCAGGGCGCGAGCGCTGTGTGGCCGCGGCTTCTGTGCTCGGCAGAGCTGGTGCAGCGGGGTGGCAGAATTTTGCCCTTTACACTTTATCTAAATGGAACCTACTTCAGGTGTTGCTTTTTTTTTTTTTTTTTTTTAGCAGTGGTTATGTTTGTGAGGTTCAGCTGGTGCTCTTACGTGTCTTGCTCTCTTTGGACTTTTGCATCGTATCTGGAATAACAGTGGACATGGCTCGAAAGACCCTCTTTGGGGTTTAAGATCTTTCTGAGTCCTTTTTAAAAACTTAATGAACATGTGCCAAAGATTTTATTTAACTCACTAATTAATAAGATAAACTGTAAGATATTACAACTGGCTCAAATATCTGAGTACATCTGAAATGTATTCTTATTTACTAAAAACTATTTTTCTGATTGATAAAATCTGACAAAACTGACTTTTACATAAGTGCATGTGTTGAGGTTGCATAAAAGTAACTTTAATGCTTTAAAATTGGAAAAAATAGAGGTAAATTTCCTAGGCATCTGCTTTGTGATTTGCCATTTTTGAGGGGAGGGGGCAGTGCAGTTCTTTTGATGGCACTGAGGTAAAGAGAATTTCTTGATCCTGCCACAAAATAAAAAGGCAGGCCATTGACTGTCTTCAAAAAGGATCCCTGCCCATCTCCCTCTGCCTTTGAATTCCTGTGAAGTTGGCAGAGGGGTGGGGAGGAAGCGGTAAGCTGACCAGAAATTAAAAGCAAGGAGTCTGTGCTGTTTCCTTGACGTGATGAAGGTCCCTGTCAGGGATTCAGAAACCTGAGCCAGCAGATGAAACCTGTGTCATTCGTGTTGCCGTTGCCAGAGAGAGCGCCGGCTTGTTCCCTTCCCTGGCTAACAGCCGCTTTCATTGTCCGTCAGCCACATCCCCTGCCTGCTTGTCAGCACACAGCGACTTCTAAACAAACACAGGGACTAGTGAGAGACGGGAATGCCTTTCTTCCCCACTCAAGGAATTTCATGTCATGGTCATTAACAGGAGAGAGAGGGAGCATTCCATTGGAAGGAATTTATCTCTGTGGGATATAAAAGTTTTGATTTAAAAAAAATCAAAGTTCATTTTAAAAGTACAGAATTTTCCAAGTAAGTCACAGTCTTCTGATACATTCATGTAGGTTTGGAAAATTTTAGTCTCGGTATTGAGGAACTAAGAATTTGGAAAGGTGAAAGTGAAACACAGCCTCTCTTGGGGCCATTCCAAAACTTCCATTTGTAGGGCTATCAGATTGAATGAAGGTAGAGTAGAACTTCTCCTTAACTTTAATATCTGAGAGTCTTTGTTCTGGTTGGGTTTCTGGGGAAAGAAGGCAACTGACCCAATGATAAGATAATGACCATGTTTAAAAGTGGGAAGTGATCGAGAGTGTCTGACACCATTGGCAGTGTTTCTTTGTGCCATTGGGCTGTTTCCGTATCAGAACAGAGGTGGCTTGATGGTGAGGACACCCAAACCCTATCTAGGCTACCTGTCATCAGAGGTAGTTTACGGCTCTACATTGTGAGTAGGACGGAGTTCTTCACTCCTTAAATGAGTGGTTCTCAGCTGTGACTGCACGCGGGAATCACTGGGGGAGCTTTAAATGAATGATAATGGCAGTCCCAACCCCTGAGACTCAGAGGCAAATGGTCTGAGTCCAGCCAGGGTCTGAAGAATTGTAGAGGCCTATCATGATACTAAAGGGTGAGAGAACCATGATGTAGACTCCAGCTGAGGTTTAGAATATTGTTTCCTTTTTTTTTTTTTTAAAGATTTTATTTATTT